TGTGTGTGTGTGTGTGTGTGTGTGTGTGTGTGTGCACGCACTCACACATGGAGGTCTGGGATGAATTACCATAGAAATCAGTGGGAGGGTTGCGGACTGACCCATATTTTACAGTCATCAGCCTTAAGAAGCAAGCAGCTGGTGAAAACTCCTTTCCCCCCCATGCATTCACAATGCGACAAAGTCTTATGGGGACAGATTTGGGGTTCTGCCATCTATTGCTGTTTCACATTAATCCACATTAGGTAATTTACTTTCTTTTTCTCTCCATACATTTTCAGCTCATTCTGTAATTTTGGGATTTGGACCCCTGTGAGAGAGCAGCTTGTCTTTCCACTTTTCATTTTTTCTGTATTTTCCACCTCTCACTCACAAGGTTTTGCTTGAACTCTCTGTTAAACACAGCTTATTTGAAGAAACATCCCCCTTTCCATTCACACTCTTTCTCCCCCTCCCCTTTCCTCACCAAGTTTTTGAAGAGGGCGGTGACCTCTCTGGTGAACACAGCCAGGTTGAGGAAACCTGTGGAGACTTCGTTGTTGTCCTGGGTCAGGTGGCTGTTCCCCAGGTTCTCCAGCACCTCGATGTACTGCTCTTTGTTTTCCACGTGGGCTGAAAAACAACACGCACGCACACATAATGAGAACAGAAAAGCAAAGTGACATGTGCAGAAAGTCTGAAGAAGGGAGAGTATTTGAACAAGACAAACATGTGGGGCAAATTAGTCCTGGTTTCCACCCATCCTGGAACAGGAGACAGACACACATATAGAGAGAGCCATGCTTTTCTTCGGATTAAAGGTCAGTGTCTAATGTTATAGGTCATTTTCACAAGTGTCATGACCTCAGTCTGTGGAAAAACGCTGATGGAAAAGAATCTGAGCTCTGGCCGGCGCCGCTCCAGTTTATATTGTGCTAGATGAGGTTTTACCCTAAAGCTATTTGGACGTGAGGCTTAAGTGACAACATCAAATAAACAAGTCGCAATTTAAGCATCTGAGGTCGTCAGATTCCATCAACAAAGATGACCACCTGACGAACAGTTATAAACAAATGTGACTCCACTGCAGTCGTATGAAATACCTTATCTGGCGTTAGGAAAAGGAAATCATTCGCCAGTGGTTTCACACTAACAATTTAACAAAGAGGTAAAGGAACACATGGAATCAGTGGCCATAGCAGACTAAACATACAAAACCAGAAAAAGGCAGAAAGGTTAATGGTTTCTGCTCCAGTTTCCATATAAGAAAAATATAAAATAGACTGAGTGTAGCTGAGAGACAGACAAAGTGATACTAAGTGGCTCATTTTGAATTTAAGCAAAGAATGAGACACTGCAGGATGGAGGAGGCTGAATCAATAGGAGCAGAGAAACTTAGGCTGCGTCGTCTTTAATGAGACTCAAGAGGTTCATCATTTTAATTTATGTTAAATGGTTTACATGCTTTAATGTTAAGAAAACACATGACCTTCCTCATGCTGTCCATTGCTGCTGCAGCTCCTCTTTTCAGCCTCTGCCTGAAACGCATCAGCTCCTGTTTTACTTGGCTTTGTTAGGAGGAGAGCCAAACATGCTGCTAAGCATGTATTATGCAAATATGTGTCATCGTCATGGCAACACAATGATGTGTAAGATTCAGCCGGACTACCGACAAGATGTTTTCTGTTCGGGAGGGGAGCTTCCTTTACCACAGACTTTGTATTTAGTTTTATTTGCAGACTTTTTGCATTCACGAAAATATACATCAGGCTAGAGGAATGAAAATCTGTAAAGCATCACATGACTAACAAGCAACACGCGCATCTATCAAACAACAAACAGCTGAGTCACAGAGGGGCTCAGAGGATGAGTTTACCGCTGACCTTTACCAGACACCAGCAGAGCAACTCAACTCTTTGACTCCTCTGGCAGAACACACAGGGACTCACAGGCCTCAGCATCTTGGCAGAGAAAAATGGTGCTTAGCGGTTTATGGGAACAGAGAATTGAAGAAGAGAACATCTTGCTGTGTGTGTGTGTGTGTGTGTGTGTGTGTGTGTGTGTGTGTGTGTGTGTGTGTGTGTGTGTGTGTGTGTTTACATGCGCGACACAGCGAGGGGCCGTGAGCGCAGCACGGGGGACGTGTCTTTATATGCATGCTGAGTCAGATCATCAATCCATGATTACCGTCAGGACTGATTAAGACGTTCAACAACCGCAGCGAACCCATATGATTCTACTTAGATGCAAAGGAAGAAACAGCGAAAAAGCAGAATAATCATGGAGCACTTCTCTGCGCTGCTGACGGGATCTGGTTGCCTAATCTTGGGCAGCTGCCGCTCTGACTCACTAAAAACCCTGAGTTGAAGCCTCGAAATTGGAAGCAGACTTGAAAGCGAGCTCAGAAAAACAACTTCAGGATATGTTGCGCAGTTTCTCGCTTTCTCCTGTGCATTTTTGAGGTGAACACTCACATCTTATGCACGTCCAATCCTTAGAGATTGCACAAATGTACATGACACACACTCATTGCCCGAAACCGCACATACCATTTACCTTAACACAGATACACACCGGTACACCACGAGGGCATACACTCTGCATAGATGTAAACACAATCACTCATCATCCTACAAACCCAGTCCCATTACAAGAGGCCTCCCTCATAAACAACACTGCCCGCATGAGCCTGATGATGTCATCTTGTACAGTGAAGTGTATCAGAGGCTCCACTTTGCACTGAAGCTCATCCTGTCGTCATAGAAACTGACCTTTATCTAAGAGGACATCCTGCGACATGAAATATGTGGTGAAACTAAAACTGTGCAGATAGCCCGACTGACACTGTCACTTCTTTTGGCCATGTGGTGAAACTACTGTCCCTAAAGTCTGAATGAACATGGATCATTTAAGGCCAACATGGATGTTCTCCAAGTGCTATGGATGAAACTAAAGCTGTTTTCACAAATGAAAATGTTTGGGACCATTTCCGGAGTTTGTCTCTCACGTGTGAAGGACGCAGCAGGGGATTGTGCAGGTCAGATATATCGACAACAAAAGACAATTTTGGGAACATTCAGGCGAGGGGTGGCGCCTGCGTGGAGCATGAAGGAGGAATGTTTTTTTTTTTTCAAAGCTCACAAATTCCGTTGTCTATATGAGTTGACATCTTCATCGATTCCAGCTTTGTGTCCATCACATGTTAGAAACGTCATCAACAAGTTCCCTGCTGTGCTCTCACATGGGCTCACTCAGACATTTTCCGGACAGTTTACTAGGGGTCCGACAGGAAACGTTCTGAAAAATGCCTTCAGCAACTGACATGGATATTTGTGCAGTCACTCACAGCCCCTCAGGAAAGTTTCAGGAAAAAAATCAGGAGATCGGTGCATGTCTAAAAACAGCTACTGAGTTTTGCATGTCAAAGGATTTATCACCACGACATCTTGATCTGATGTGACATCTCACTGATGAAGAGTGATATGTCTGTAAAAGAGCTCGCAGACTAGTAGTGTACCGTGTGAGCGAGACTGTCGTCATTTGACACTTACAGAGTCCAGATGTGTGTATAGCTTTGATCATCTTCTTCATCTTCTGCAGAGTTGTGTGGTCCATCTCCAGAGACTGCAATAAAACAATGAGACACAGAGGTGTGTGAAAAACAACAAAAAAGAAATCGAGAATAACAATTGATAACGTTTCGGGAAAATAGATCAAATCCTGTTTATGTCTATATTGTGATATTGATGTGTAGCATAAAGGTTTTCTACATGACAATTGTGTGTTTTCGTGTTGTTTTAGCTGGTGACCCAAATAACTGAGTTAGCGAGATACTTGATTACATTGATGCAAGAATCATGTAAATCCAATACTACAGTATAGTATTGATAGATTTGCCCAAATAGCCTAATTTGACACATTGATTTCTAGGGAATAACTTTGTCAGTTGCAGTTTCCTCATCTTATCATCCATCTCTACTCCCATCTTCTCTCCCCAATGTGCAGGTTAGGGGGGACAACCTTTCATGAAAGTAAGATTCAACACTCGGCTCTGCTCTTTGGCTGTTTGAGGTCTGACAGTCTGTGTTTTGTGTGATAAATGACTCTTGATTTTCTCACACTGTGTGAGTGAGATGAAGAGGTGAGTCAACACTTGTCCACAAAACAATCATCTGTCTTGCACCGTCACGGAATGATGTCACCGTGCTAACTTCAACTGTCTGAATGACACATCAAATCCAGACGAGGGTTCTTCTGCAGGAAATAAAGTCAATCCAGGACTGTGACGCAAGATACAGACAAGATGCACATTGGCAACTGGATCCATTCTATTTGGATGATCAACCTTTTCTATACCAACAAGGTTTGAACTGCATCCTGTTCTCCCTACACAGGCCGGTTGTTTTGTGAAGTTAAGACACGCTGCACTCCACCTACATGCCAACAGAAATAGCTTTAATGAGCCTGATCTAGACTTAACAGACACTCCGCCTTGTTAGACTGGGCTGTTTACACGCCTCAGTCCTTCCTGGTCAAGTCCACTCCCTGAGTGTTAGTACACTAATTAAAGAGGAGCTGTGGGTGTTGTGTAATGTGGCTTTCAGACAGTGAGTAGGAAAGTGATTTCGTGCAGGCTGGAGATGGGAGTAGCTGGTGCTGCTGTAGTTTCCGCCGCTTGGTAAATTCAGTGGAAACAAGCTGGTGCAGGTCAATGAAAACTGGTTGTGTTTATTACATTTTTGAAATACATAAGGGCACACCAACAATTCATCCATCATTCCCAAATCATAGGCTGTAAATAAAGAAGAACGATATGTCTCCACTTCCTTCCACTATCCAGAAATGAGGCTAAAATATTCCCGAAGACCGCCTCCTTCGTGAGCCGCGCAGACCATGTCCCCTGAAGTAGGAGGTCCAGCAGATACGCCCACTGGACCAATCACCGGCTTCACTTTTGGGGAGCTGTGATGTCGGCCATATTTATAAGCAGCCAAAATATCAAAGAACTACACACATATCCCTTCCCTCAATGGCTCCACCCATTGAGATACTGAGAACCTACTGTGATTTTACATCACGTTATTGTGACTGTAAACAGGGCGGCATACACCTGCTGTCTGAGTGCGTCTGCAGGCAGCACAGCGTAATATTTCATGACTAACTGATACCTGATCCTTATTTACTGCATTAACAAGGCATGGTGACAGACTCAGCTGCAGGACAAGTGAGAATATTCGATTTCATCATGTTCACTTCCCCATAGGAGAAAACTTTAGCTCTGTTAAACACTGAACCTTACAGCTGTAGGAAATCAAACCGTTCCTTATCCCCCCCCGTCTTTCCTCTTTTATCGCCGTCTGTAATCAGGAGTAATAAGTAACAATCAGCTGAGTGTGTGTGCAGTTAAATGGTGTCTCTGTCTCTCTGGCTGCTGCCATAACCCACACACATGCCCACACATTACCCTGGGCATTAATCAAGCTTGTCCCCACTGAGCTGCCTAAACATAATAACCACAGATCTATCTATAAAGGGGCTATTGCATCTGTGTGTGCGTCCGCCTGTCTGTCTGTACATGTGTAAGATTCCAGCATGACCCTCCCCACAGCAGCTATTCAGGCTATTTTTTCCAGTGTGTCATAGCCATAAAAAATGGACATTAGCCCAAGATAAATACATCAGACATCTGTCTGTGAGTAAACCCTGAAATCTGCTGTGTCCATCTCTGATCACTTGTCACAGTTTTGAGCCAGGAAAGTTTTATGAAGACCTTTCATCTTTCATAGGCTCCATTGCATGGACATTGAAGGTATTAAAACCATTGCATAGGAAACTATCATTTTTCCACATGACAAGCATCTAATTTTAGCAAAAAATAAGCCTCGGTTTGGTGATTCAAACTAATGTGAGCTCTGTCTGAGAGCAGGACAACTCCATATCAGGTTACACTACATCAGTGAGCTATAATAATTTGTCACAAGACGACATGCAAGGAAGGAAAACCCTGTGTGCACACTTGGATTATTTGTTTTATGGCAGAGTTCATGTGCAGCCTCCCTCCGTTTCCTCATATGCGAGCTTAGAGGGAGCAGATTTCAAACAAACACAAGCATACACACACATGGAGAGACCTCAAACAAGTTTTGAGCCAAAGTACAATTTCAAACAAAAAGCTGGCCTTCACAGACTGGCCAAACGTGTGTACTCACAAAAACAACATCTTACTCTGTCAAAAGATGTTGGCTGTGTTTTGTGTGTGTTCTGTGTTGGTCCCATCATGAGTCTGACTCCCATGAGACCCAAGTAAACCTTCTGTTTGCAATATTACCTCGAGTAACCTTTACTTTTCTGCTGAACCAAGCCTGAATGCTTGGAATGACTACAAATGAAGCTCTCACCACACACACATACACACCCATTGTTTGCCAGATTTTAAATTGTCCCAACACACTTGTGGGGTGTGAAACTGTCCAGATAACACCACAATTGAACAATACAGACATGCATTACTATGCAAAATGTGTAATTTCTTTAAACTAAATCACGATGTGGCATTTATCTTGATAATTATCGATATCGACTGACGTAAATGTTTTATCTAAAAGTAATTTTTGGACATATTGCCCAGCCCTGTCCAGTATGTGCACTTGTCCCACTGTAAATAGTCTAGTAGCATTATGTGCATATTATTGTTATAAGGTTTTTGCAGGAGCAGTGAACCATTGCATGTGTGTCTCATCTGGAAATATTGTTGGACAAAGAACTGAAAGAGAAGCCTGCTGACACAGGTGAGAGGAGAGGAGCACATCTATACATCGCAGCCCTACAGGTAAACAACAGAAAAGGAGCATGTCCCTGCACCCCCCCTCACCTCCTCCACGGTGGACACTGTCCTTCGACAGTCGCTCATCTTCGACTGGAAGCTTGAGGTCCCCGGTGAAGACAGATCCTCGTTCGTCAGCACCACAAAGTCGGAAATGCTGATCCGCTCCGGCATGTTTTTTTAGGCGAGGACGGTCCCAGAGAGTCACTGGCGAGAAAAGTGAGGCAAAGTTTTACGCGCGCCAGTAAATCCCCATTTGAAGAAGCAGCGACAGTTTATTCCTCCATGGAGCACAGAGCCGCGACTGAAGAGAGGCTGAGGTCCGGTCCTCTCGGTGAGTGTCGTCTGGAAAGTGTGTTTGAGGGGGAAAGTTTCCTAAAGAACAGACCTGAGTTCTGACAGCGCTCAGCCAATCTGGAGGCTTGGAGGTGAATCAGCGCGCTATTGTGCGCCCAGTGAGGGAGGGAGCAAACTCCAGCATCACGTGGGAATGTTTGTGCGTGTGTGTGTGTGTGTGTGTGTGTGTGTGTGTGTGTGTGTGTGTACTGATTTCTGTTGCCTCTTTGGGTTAACTGTGATCAGGTTAACGTTAGGGTTAGTTATGAATTGGTCGTGATTAATGTTAGTGAGAAAAGGTTTTGTTAAAGCTCTTCACAATGAATAGAAGTCAAAGCAAAGTCCTAATAATGATGGCTGCACAAATCTGTGTGTGTGTATTCATTGTTATTACTTCTGCAGGACCTTCACTGACACCTTGTCAGGACCAGAGCCTCCTCCTAATGATCCTAAACTTACTTTCTAAGGTCCTGGTTTAGTGGTAAGAATGAATGAAGTGAATTGTGGTTAGGGTTCAGTGTGAATTGGTCCTAGTTAAGTTAAGTTTTGTTAGATCGTCAATGATACAAAGTTCAATAGAAATAGTTTTGAGAGGACTTTTGTGGTCGATCCTCACTATCTCATCGACTCTCATCTATATTTGATCTCCTGTTACGTAGAGAACCCTGTTGTCGGGTTTGTGGTATTAAAAAGTGAAAAATAAAAATGAATGGGTTCATAAACAATCTTTTAGGCATCGGATAAGAGCTGGAAATTGTGTTGCGATGGTTAAGGTTAGGATGAGGAGCTGGGGAATGCATTATACCAAAAGCTGTCCTGAATAAGATGGAAGTACAACAATGCGTGTATGTGTGTGTGTGCCCTCCTCTCTTTCATTGTTACTTCTCATTTCTATGCAGACTCCAGAGAATCTGCAGTGTGGTCGCCATGGTAATGCAGAGAGCCTCATTCACAGACTGAACTGAAGGAGAGGAATTTCAATGGATGAGTTGATGTTGTCAAGGCGGAGAACTGCTTTGAGGCTTATTCTGCAAAAACTTGTGAAAGATGAAAACACCCATTCAAAGTCTGATTTGAAGCATTTGCACAAAACACAACTGAACCACAACTTTAAAACGAATGTATCATTAGTTTAGATGTGTAAAACTCTTTGCAGCCTCTGCTTGGCTGAGGCTCCAAGGCTCCTTCTGCTTCCTTTTCATCTCATGAAAAGGAATTTTTCATTCAGCAAGGATTTCGTCAGTCCCTCCTCCAGCCGACCTTCTCCAGAAATCATCTGACAAAGTCAAAGCAGAGAGAGGTGGGGGGGGGATAACCTGCAAGAGTTGCGTGTAGGACATAACTCCTGCATGCCTAACATTGTCAAGCCTGTCACAATGCAAAGAGAAGAGTATCACTGAACTTAGCCTCAGGGGAGAGCAGCGATATGATACACTATGATGTGCAGATGGGTGGTTTCACAAGCAGCATCAAATACACTGGCTCCCTTTGGTTATGCACCACAAAACCAAAGCTGCATTAGCTGCATAAAGGGGGGAATTAGTCCCAGCTCTTCAGACAACTTGAGGTCATTTAAAACACATTAAGCCCAAAAAATTTAACTGCACTTTGTGGTGAACGGGTTTTTTCTGTTCACTGAAACTTCTTATTACTGCCACTCGGTGAATAGAGCAGAATGGATGTGGTATCAGAACTGTGTGCACGCTCACACTGCTGCTGTGTTTACGTTCACAAGGACGGACAAACTCCTTATTGTGCAACACTTAGCAAATAACTCCAGACGCACTGAAAAGGCTTCAAATGTGAACCTCTGAAAGCACAAAGTGAAAGTTCCCTGGAGATGAAACAAAGGCCTCTCCTGATTGCAAATATTCAACATGTAATATAAAACATTCCCTGCAGAGGAAGCACTGATAAACAAACTCTCTACTCATTAATCATTAAGAAAAAATCTCTACTCCCATAAGGAAGTGAGGGCACGCGACAATCTCCAAACAGTGCAGAGCCACGTAAATAGGCTCGGTGACCCAGTTTACAAGGGCCTCATTCCTTATTGTTTCTGTTGTCTGCCTGTCTACAAAAGAAAGCCAGTGAGAGGAAGAGAAAGAAAAGATAGGTTTGCACAGATAAATGTAGGTATATATCATTGTCTTCTATATGAAACATATGTGTACTCATTTTGCACACATTCATTTTTTTCCCTTGCATGTCAGAGCTGATGTAATGCAGAAGCTCGCCATGTCCCAACAATACCCTCCTTCAGTTTCCTTTGCAGCCCCCTAGTTAAAGAAGCAGAGCCTTTGTGCGCCTGCCAGCCTTCTGGCTCGGGCCCTGCTGTAAAACCGAGCAAACCGGTCTGCTCGAGCAGTGAACTAAACATATAGTGGAGAGCACACGTCCGAGGACAGGGAGGGAGGGAGGAGAGGGAGGGGAAGAGGAGGAATGGGGGAACTGACAGAGGAAAATAGTTTTGGAAGGTGGAGGGGAGAGTGGGAGGGTGGAGAGGACAAAGGTGGAAGGACAGAGAGAAAGGAGATAGACACTTTATTGTCTCAAACACACTGAAGTGACTCACTTAATGTTTCCCTCCTTGCCTCCACCCTTTTCCTTCCTAAACACCACACGCTGCACCTTTTCACTGTCACTTACATCAACACACTCTCTCCTGCCTCTGAGCGGTCGTTTTCTTTCTGTCTTTATGCCACGAATGGTCTTTTATCTTCCTTCACCTCATTGTAGAGCCATCTCTCCTCCTCAGCCTGTGAGCACTGAAGTTTTTGGCTCTTGGTAGAAATGAGGTTTACACCAAATGCACCATCTCTCTTCTGACGCACACAGCAGCACAGAGCCTGTACCAACATCTTCCAGTAAAGATTACTGCTAACAGGATTTCCTCACTGCTTCCCAGCAGCACAGACGAGTAGCACAGGGTCCGCTCACAACCCCCCCCCCCTCTCCCTCACCACTCTGCATGTTGACTCAGCTCCACAAGTTCTGCTATCAATTTACTACCCTTGTCAAGCTATGAGGCCCAGACTTACCGTAACGCACCCCCCCCCCTCTCCTGGTCGACACGGATGACTGAAAATGGGAGGACTGGAGGGAGAAGGAGAGAAAGAGAGAGGGGGTTTGATTTATTGTTGAACACCGGACTTCAGTTTCCCACTGGAATAAGCATATGAAGTGTCTCAGGTTAGGGCCTCTATAGAAAACCACTGAGCCTAGGAACCTGCACCACCGCACCAAGGATACTTCCTGGGAAACACCTGGATTGTCAAAAGGAACAGTGACATGTTACTGACAGCTTGTGCCAGACTCAGTGACAGAGCAGCATCAGACCCGTGCAGTGGAGGAGGAAGTACATCCTACTTTTACTCCAATACAAATACAAATAAATAGACAGGCATGCACTCAGGTAAAAGTAAAAGTACCACATCAACCTTTTTACTTGAGTAAAAGTAAGTAAATTGTTGCTTTTAAATATATTGTATTAAAAGTGCTTGCTATTAGCAATTTGTTTACTGCATCATATGTACTCACTATGCATACTGTTTTATACAAGAATAATACAGACTATAAATACAATAATGCTGCAGATGATGCCACTGAAGACACATTGTCATATTAATCAAATCCATTTCATGTGATTCTTCTTCACCAGTGCTGCAGGAGGCGGGGTCTAATGTTACCCACCTGCTCTCATTGGACCAATTCCTCTCCCCTTATTGATATGTTTTTAAAATATATAAAAACATGTGAACATGTGACACAATACATTGTAAAAATGTAAAGTAGTGGAGTAGAAAGTACAAATTTTCGCTGATACATGCCGCCACATTTAGCTCCAAAAACTGGAGGGAGAAGGAGAGTGGTGTGTATTTTTATACTTTTTATTTATTTAATGTATTTATCAATTTCAAACCTAACTTTAAAACGTTATTAAATCTAAATCTAAGTCTAAATTTGGAATCTGAATACAACATTTTTATCTAATTGTTAAATATAAATGTTAATGCAGAATGTTTAATCCAAATGTTAAATGTAAAGCCCACCTGTTGTGGCGTAAAAGTTAAAAAATACCCCAAATAAGTCTACGTGAGTAAAGTACAAATACATGAAAATGTACTTGAGCACAGCAATTTCAGTAGATGTATTTTGTTACGTCTCATCACTGCCTGCATGTCCTCTGTGGTTTGTGAATCGCTCTGTGACGAGAGCTACGTAAGTAAACTTTGCTTGCTTGCTTGGTCTGAGCTGCCAACATACCTGCCCATCAACCCCACCCTGAGACAGAACTCTCTGTCTGTCAACACAGTGGGTATAGCAACAACAACTTTTCATGACTGGGGACACGTCAGTCAAACTGGTTTGTGATTCATACTCCATAATAAATGCAGCGTTACATAGAATTTACAGTCATATTTTCCTGGAACTATTTCTCCTACCGGCTGAATCCATCAATATCTATGGATAACACATAAAAAAGCTTCTAAACCTCCCACATGAATTAAAGAGGTGCATACATTTTGTGCAAACAGTCATCAATAATCAAATATTGTGCCAGTCTGCCAGTTCAAGACATTCTGTTCCTGTTAATGAGTTAAACACACCAACTCTAGTCACTAAATCGTTTCCACCCTTCCAAAATTACAGGAGCTCTCTGTGTCCTGCTGAAGGTGACATGCAATGTTCTGACCACTGCTCATGGACGAGCTGTCACCTTATTTTATTTTTTACTTTTTGGCAAAGTGAGCGTTCAGCTACAACAATATCTACCTCAGTTTCTTGTCGACACAGCAGTTGGTCTGAAGGTGTGATGAAACAGAACTGAGGTGCTCTGTTGCTTCGACAGAATTAAAACCCACACAGGCAAAGGCTACGTGTGTGTGTGTGTGTGTGTGTGTGTGTGTGTGTGTGTGTGTGTGTGTGTGTGTGTCCGGTATTTCAGCTTTACTACATCTTGTTAAACACATGAGCCGTTGTGTGCAACATCTGTTAATAGACACTTAACACTAATACACACCTGATGTTCAGAAACAGATGAGTTTGCATGTAGAACTGGTGCAGATGACCACGTGGAGGCTCACACACTTTATTTCACTTGCACAAG